CTGTTGCCTGGCTGTTAAGCTGAGTCAGTATTTCCTTAGTCACCGACCTGGGAAAAGCATCCTGATTTGCAAATAAAAAAATAAACCAAAAAATACAAAGTACATCTCTGCAATACATCCACATTCCCCATGCTTTGTCTCTTTAAGAATGCTGCAAGTACAGAAAAATACTTGGTGATCTTGTCAGAATTCCAGTGAGCTCCTAACTTCCTGTAGTGAGCTGACAACTCTGCCTCTTCTGTACTGAATTCTTAAGAAAGGTTGTCAACTCTGCCTGGGTTCTTCCCTGCTGGACTACAGCACCCTTCCTATCTCTGCCCTCTCTATCCCACTGCACATCCATACATTGATTATTAAAAATTATGATTACAAATTATTTTGCTGCCTTGACTCCCATGGGTCGGTCTACGCAACTGGGCTGATTTACAAAAAGAGCTGAAAATCGTCTCCCAGTAAATTGTGTGACTATTCGCCTCAATTATCCAATCATGTGAACAGCAAATTCCAGTTTACTTATTTTATCTGCACTGATAAGGTATTCAAAATGTACTGGAAATGGCTCTTCACACCACTGGATAATTAAAATGAAGATTCACACAATTTATTAAGTGAATATTTTCAAATTCTTTAGTAAATCAGCTTTGCTCTAAGGCAGGGGTGTTGCTAGACCATGGCACATTTCTCAGGTCTTCTACTGAGCACCTCGGGTTCCTTTGAGATATGAGATGATACATTTTGCGCATAATCCAGTTTTGGAACATTGTGTAACTTATCTATTTTTTTTTTTATTCTATTAATATTTCCTTTTTTCTAAACAATGATACTACTTTTGATTTTGATTTCAATCATGTAATTATAATGTGACATTACATTTTTTTAGGCCAGTTTACTTAAAAAGATTATATTAGTCCAAAGTTGACCATACACAATACATTCTAATCATACAATCTGCTTTACATCTACCATCAACTATGTAGTACAAGGACCACCCTCATGTGATAGAATGTTAATGGATTGCTTAGGTTTGTCCACTTATTACATATTTGTGATAAATCTAAAGGAGATTGTACTGAGATTGTACCTATTGTATAGTTTATGGCCACCTTTAGACTAGATCCAGACCAGTCATGATATTGTACCAGTCCCTCAACATACAGTATATGCCCAGAGGTGCCAGGTGTCTATTAGGACCCTAGAAACACCCTTGCTGTAAGGACAGGGCTCTCAGCAGATGTTGATCAGGGGGACATGCAGAAGAAAATGAGCTTGCAGTAGCTGCCTCTGTATGAAGTTTACAAGCCTGTTGATAACATCACAGGGAATAAAGTACGCTGAATCTTGCTACAAGGAGCAAGGTAAATAATAAAGTAATGCTGGAATATGCTCTAGTCTAGAGGGAGTGGGGGAAGTTTGGGTCACGAAGCCAGGCCCATAAGGACATGATCTGACAAGTATGGTGTACAGGAACTCAGATGATCTGACCGCAACCCTACTGAACACTTTTAGGATGAATTGGAATGCTATATAATATACTTTCCAAAGTCAGAATCTTGTTAACCGTGGTGTTTCATATGGGAATGTTGCACTGTTTTAACTTTAGTTTCCATCTCAATGCAGTGGCTGGAGTCCAGGGAAATGTTTGGATTTGGTCACTATATTGTGGAAAAGTGGAGGGAGGAATGTATAAGATATGTTTCTACTCTATAGCAGCTGCTCTGTAATTATGATTTCATTGGCTTTATCTGCAGAATGCTTACACTGCTGTATTATGAGTCCCGAGAACACCAACGTATAATAACACAGCGGTGACTTGTTATTAAAGCTATTCAATGTGGGTAGCGCACAGTTAAAATGATGTGTACGGCTCTGAAAAGGACATAATGAGGAGCATTACAATCACATAAAAATACTATGTACAAGTTAAATCCTATTTCCTTTGTAGTGTTTAAATACTCTAGTGAGGCTGTTCCCAGGCAGGCAAAAGACTCCCAAACTGATGGTGGGACACACACACACACACACACACACACACATTGTAATGTCATCTTAACTGGTCAGAGAACCACAAATCATTATTTTTTCAGAAAGATTACATTTGTCTATGTACTTGGACACT